CCAACCAACCAACTTTCCCTAAAGAACGGCTCCTAGACTCTGAGAAAAGCCTGGGCCTACAAGGTTGGGTACTAAAATTGACAGAAAAAAATTGCCTTTGACAAAAGTACAGCTTTTTGAGCCATTCCCATGTCTGTAGAGAGGGGAAAGCTATCCTGAGAGTCAGGGACCTTGAAAACCAGCCGAGTCTCTGCTGGTGTTGAGAAGTTATAAAAGGAACAAAAACCCTCAGGGGCATTCCACTTTGGGCTGCCTGGGTACTTTCTACATACAAGAATAAATACAATTATTAAATAAACATTGCTATAAATAGGGAAGTTTCCAAACCCCAGGGTATAGTACACTTACTGGAATAATAATGCAGTTAATTGAAAAACGTGAGTAAGTATTTTTAACTTTCTGCAACAGAATCTTAACCATGTACCCTGAAGGGATGAGGGGTCAAAGAGATTCTCATTGGTGGTGGTAATTGGTAGTTCTCGGGATTGAACCTAAAGTCTCTTTATACGCTAGCTAGAAGGCTTGCGTAAGAAAGCTTGCCTGTTGCGTTGGAACACGGAAATGGAGGGCATTGTTTCATCAGAGACAAAAACTGGTTTTCTGTAGTTTTCTTCCAGAATGGAGCTAGCAAAGCCAGGCCTGCTGTGTCAGCTATTAGGGAGGCTGAGGCAAGAAGATCTCACATTCAAGACCTGCCTGTGGACAGACACCCAAGCTAATATAGTATATATATATGGAAGGGGGCAGGTTCCAAAATACTGCTCAGATCAAAGAAGGCTGTTTCGGATATTTGATTGCACTATGACACTATGAGACTGTTAATAAAGTTAAACTTTGAATCAAGGGGCAGAGTCCATGACTAGTTGACTCGAATTGGCCATAGAAATATTGGAAGGCAGGCAGAGATAGAGAGGCAAAGGAAGAGATAGGGAGGGACTTGGAGAGATTCCCAGTCTTTTTGATCTGGGAAGGGCGGGGGGGGCCCTCGCCCCCACCCCCCCCCCCCCCCCCCCCGGCTTTCTTGATCTATCCGGCCGAGGTCTTAACATAACAATAGCATAGCAAGGGAAAAATCTGAACCATTTTTCATATACTTTAAGCCATCCTCTTATACCTTTACACGTTGTATTGTACTGACACCTTCAAAACATTTTAAGACCCTCATAGTCCAAGCGTCCCTATCTTCAGACCTCTACAGCTTGCATTTACATACCTTAAGTCACTTTCTTCATGTCCTCAGACCTTTATATGCACCTTAAAATATTTTCTTAGACCCCAAAACATTGTTTTCTACATCTTCACAACTTAAGCTTTCCTTCCACAAACTTTACCTCTTTTTTTCTATCCAATCATTTACCATAAAACACAGGTGGTTGATTATGGAGAGCAGTCATATAGAAGGGAGTTACTCTATTGTTTTTTTTTTTTTTTTCTTGTATGTTATTAAAGCCAGGTACCTTAAATAAAGAAATAGAACAGAATTGAGAAGGCAGTCGAAGCCTCAGGAGAAAGGAGCTGGAACTTGCTGCTGTTAAAGCAGCCTACCTATCAAGATTGCATAGTAAACTTAAAATTTTCTAAATTTAAATATTTTCCCAGTATTTTTGTAATTTAAATGTTTTGTAAAACTCCAAAATTTCCTCTTAAAAGTTTGAAATCTCTCTCTCTCAAAAGAAAAAAAAATACCCTTTTTTTTTTTTTTTACTTCAAGAGGAAAAAATAGGGCCTAACCATAACCCACACTAGGCAAAACCGCCAAGTTCCAACAGTGGAAACAATCTTTCCCAAGGGGCTTAGGTCACCTCCCAGTCCCCTCCCTGGCCCCAGCCTCAGCAGCCTGCCTTCTAGGTCCCAGGCTGCTCCATTTAATTATGCCTAGGCGTTTCCAATGACAATCATATGGCATCAGCATCTTCAAAACTGCTAGGATGCATTATTGTAACTTGTCTCTCTTTAGGAACTCTAACCCTGTCACACATTAGTAATCCCCAGCTGTTTCCTATGACCCCTTCATATCTTAAAAAGAGTTTTACTTTGATGGCTTTTGAGACAGGGTTTCTCTGTGTAGCTTTGGAGCCTGTCCTGGAACTCTGTAAACCAGGCTGGTCTCAAACTCACAGAGATCTACCGGCCTCTGCCTCTCTGCCTCTCTGCCTCTCTGCCTCTGCTTCAGTGCTGGGACTGAAGGGATGCACCACCAGCACCCAGTGAGGACTCTGATTCTTAAAAGACTGCATGAAGCCACCTGCAGTCATGTGAACAGCAGGAAGGAGAAGGCTCAGTGTCCCTGAATGCCAAGGCTGTTAGAGGCCTCAAGGAGTATGCTTCGGGGTGCCTTCAGGTTGCTCCTGTAGAAACTACAACTACAAAGTAAAATCAGCTAACTGTCCACCCAGGGCTATTTATTTATTTGTTTATTTATTTATTTTGGTTTTTCAAGACAGGGTTTGTTTCTCTGTGTAGCTTTGGAGCCTAGCTCTTGTAGACCAGGATGGTCTTGAACTCACAGAGATCCGCCTGCCTCTGCCTCCCAAGTGCTGGGATTAAAGGCATACGCCACCAACACCTGGCCACCCAGGGCTATTTTTATTTTTATTTTGGTATACAGATTTAGGGATGAAACCCAGAGACTTGAGAATGCTGAGCAAGAACTCTACCAGCCAATATCAAAAGAATCTCCAGCAGGGGGCAGCAAACTTATATATCTCAAATGCTTACAATCATTTCACAGTACAAGAATAGTTTTGTATGTGTATTGGAGAGGGACAGACAGGATTTCCTACATACCTCTGGCTGCCCTAGAACTCAATATATAGACCAGGATAGTCTTGAACATTAAGATGTCCTCCTTCTGTTTCCATATCCTGGATACTATGACTACAAGCAAGATTACTTAAAATTTTTTTCTCTTTATTTTTTTCCTTTGATTTATTGATTATATATGTGTGTGGACACCCACATGCCACAGTGTGGGTGTGGAGTCAGAGGAAACATTGCAGGAGATGGTCTGTCCTTCGGTCATGTGGCTACCAGGTTTGAATTTAGATCATCAGGCTTGGCAGTGAACACTGTTACCCAAGGAGCAATTGCCCTGGCCCAAGAGGACATTTAAAAAAAAAATTTTAAGGATTTTATTTAATAAGTATACAGTCTTCTGTCTGAAGAATATCTCGAGTATCTGATGCCAGCAGAGGGCACAAGATCTCATTCAAGGTGGTTGTGAGCTGCCATGTGGTTGCTGGGAATTGAACTCAGGACCCCTGGAAGAGCAGTCAGTGCTCTTAACTGCTCTCCAGCCCTCGAGAGGACATTTTTTAAAAAATGATTATTTTTAGTGTGCATGTATGAGACAGAATAGCCTGTAGGTTTAATTAACCTGGGTGGAATTTACCATCCTTGTCTCCTGAGTGCTGAAATACAAGTATGCATCACCACACCCAAATAAAGCTTTTTTTTTTTACTTTATGTGCCATATGTGTGTGTATGACATTCTTCTCTCTCTCTCTTTGTTTTGTTTCTTTGTTTGTTTTTTGTTTTGAGACAGGGTTTCCCTGTGTAGCTTTGCTGCCTGTCCTGGAACTAGCTAGTCTCGAACTCACAGAGATCTGCCTGCCTCTGCCTCCTGAGTGCTAGGATTAAAGGCCTGCATTACCACCACCTGGCTTTTTTTTTGGGGGGGTCCCTCTAATACTGCAAGACCAGTTGGACTCTGAACTCCAGGGTTTTCCTGTCTATCGCTCCTCAGTATGAGGATTACAGCCAGGCACCAGAGCAGCTGGGGGATCTCAGGTCCTCACACTTTTCCAAGTTAACTCTGCCCAGTTATATGATAGAAGTCTGCTTAGTGTGGGGCCGGGCAGTGCTGAGGGAAGTCCTACTTCTCCCATGTGAGACCCTCACCTAATGTGGTTCCCTGAGGCCTCATCTCATCTGTAAAACGGGACAGCAGCCTCCGGGTTCTTGGAACAGATCGAATGTGCAGTCAACTCTGCATAGCACAGAATCCGAGAGAGGAATTAGTTTGGGTCACTTGAGACCAGCTTGAGCACCATAGCTGGAACCCCATCGTCAGGAGAGAGAAAAAACCACACTTACTCATGTATTTTATGTAAATTAGTGCTCTGTCTGCCTGTATGCCTTCATGACAGATCCCACTACAGATAGTTGGTTGTGAGCTACCATGTGTTGGCTGGGAATTGAACTGAGGACCTCTGGAAGAGCACCCAGTCCTCTTAACCGCTGAGCCATCTCTAGCCCCCAGAAGTCACTCTTCTAATGGGCTGAATAATTCTTTGTACCTAGGAGGGTAAGGCTCTCAAGACCCGGAAGGTACGCTTAAAGAAGAGGTAGAGCTGAAGGCTGAGGCAGACTCGGCCCTCAAAAATAAACCGGTGGAAAGGGCGCAGGGGCTGCCCTGGCAGAAATCCAGTACTTGGGAGTTGGAGAAGGGAGGGGCGATGAGTGAAGTACTTAGGACCCGCTGGTGGCCATAGGATTGTCTCCAGGTACCGCACCCGCGCTGCTGTCACACCGCTTTGGCGTCGGCTAACTCCAGCTCCGCCCCTCCACTGTGCCGTCAAATAAGCTGGGCGTTTCCATCCTGCCCCCCCAAAGCTGTCGCAGTTACCACCCAGCGGGCAGCCGCTGGTCTCCCGGTCGGCTCGCCCGCTCACTCTTCCGGACTCCCAGGCCTCCAGGCCTGGGTGGGGCGACCGGCTGCGAGTCCCGGGAGGCCGATCCCGGCCACCCCCTCTACCTGGGACTTTCCTCTGACCAGAGCTGCACAAAAGATCTCGCTGTCCTTCAACGTCGTCCAATCGCCGTCCTCACCCCTCCCCCGCCCCACCTGGCCCCCGCGTCGACCCTACATGTCTCCTCCCCTTCTCATCTCCAGCTCCTTTTACAGAGTTTGGTTTGAACTTTCGAACCTGCCAATCATCGCCCTCGGTGCGGCCCAGGGCGGGGTCCGGTGTCCTCCCTCCCGCCGCGTGGCCTGGGCCAGTCTATATAAGACCTCTCCTGGAGGCGGACTCACACTGCTTCTCCCCGGGACTCCTTGGTAGTCTGCTAGTGGGAGGTCCTCGTCACCCTCTCTTAACTCAGACCTCTCTGACCTCTTCCTAGACAACATGGTGAGTGTGGCTG